ATATATATATATATATATATATATATATATATATATATATATATATATATATATACATACATATACACATATATTACTTACACATCCGCACTGAATAATATCTACCAATATGATAACGGAAGAAACAAGTGAAGACTTATGTCAGTCTGATCTACTAAGATTAATGATTATGTGTGTCTAATGTAATGCCACAGAGCTCTGTCGACAACACTATGGTACATTAATATGGTACATTATACATCAATTCGGCGTACGGGTTATCATTATTTCGATCTTTCGATTAGTTATGTATAGATTTTTTAGACGATGAAAAACCTAGTTAGGTAAGGTTTATTATATGAATGTCCTAGATTTAATGAACTCGAAAGATGGTCAGATACATCGTCAAATCAATCACGTTAAATAAACGTCAAAAAATTTAATGGATTGTATTTTGTATATATATACACACACATACATATACATACACGTATATATATCCCGTCTATCTCCCTTTTTACTTGTCCTGAAAGGAAAACATCCCATATACAGAACAGTACAAATGTCCAAAATCGAGTCATTAGGACGTCTTTAAGACATCTTCAAGACAATATCTTATAATTTTGTCTTAAAGATGTCTTAAAGACGTTTTATGGCCCGATTTTGGACATTGTGCTGTCTGGGATCCCTGATCAGTGGAATATATCTGGCATTAGACGCGATGGTATTCCGGTATATTGTATAGAGGACTAAATATTGTCTAGCTCGTGTAAAAACATTACAAAGCAGTTTATTTTTTTTCCAAAACATACACAGAATACTAAACACAGCACCAACAAAATTTCAATTTACAGCTTGTGATTACGATTTTTTTTTATTTAAATTTTACCTATTTCTTTTGTAAAGAGATCCTTTAGTTTTATATATTTATTTATTTGTTGTATATATATCTTGTGTTCTCTCTTTGTTAATATGTACAGCTGATTTATAAGTTATAAGTAGGCTTTATTCGCGCAATTTAAAGCTCCTGCCTCTCATCGCAGCCAGCGATGACTTGCTATCTTGACTTATGACGTCAGAATGAAATATTGACGCCTAAAATTCCTGCAAAGTCGAAATAAAATGTTATGTAAATATAAGTTAAAAAGGAAAGTTACATATCACGTTTATTTTACGATTATTTATCAATAGAGCAAAACGAAAGTGTTCAAAGTACTTTAATGGTGTGCTTAATCGATTATTGTATATATTGAATATATCATTTTATTTCGATGTACTCTGCAGCAATTTTGCATATGCATTTCCCTGTTTCTGACGTCATCAATCAAGAGTTTCGCAACAAAAGACCAAAAGTCTGAAATTGAAATTTTGCGGACGTTATGGACTCTCCCTGCACTCTCTTTTGTTATATTCTTTACACTAGTGCAGAAAGTTCAATTGAGTGAACTAAACCTCAGAGAATCTATTATGAATCTCTTCAGTGAAAACTTATGAAAAGTGAAAATTTTCCGATTTGAAAGCATGTGAAAGTTTTTACTTTTCACGAGTTCACACTAAAAAAAAAAAAAATTCATAATCAGTCCTCCGGCTTGTTCTTTTTATCTAAACTAGTACTACACCGGATTTTCGTTCCTTTTTTCTTCAACGCTAGAGTGTATACTTGTTTCACTCCAAAGGCAAAAAGTGCAATCCAGTTCAACTAAAAAGAACAGATCTCCCGTATTAGTCCACGTGTTGGGGTGTGAGTTCAATTTGCGAGAAAAATTGCTGTAAATACTAATGGTATATGCTGTAGTTCTTTGTTTAAGTAAAACTGAAGTTTCATAACTCAATTATTTTTTTTTATTATTGATATACATTATTTTGTGGGCATCTGTGAACGATACTGATATAACCTGAACGTAAGTGTTTATAACCTCTTTCAACCGGCTTATTTGCCAAGTTCTCGATTATTTTAACTCGATGTTTAAGAAAACTTGTTATGAATTTGATTTATTTGCAAACATTCATGATTTAACATTAATTGCAGATGTCTCAAGATACTCAACCAATATCTGCTTATGCCATGCATAAACGTAAAACAGAACAATCGCAGAATGGGTCTAAAAGAATGAAGCGACAGCACGTATCACAAAATATCGTAGCATCTAATCAAAATCACAATGTGAAGAAGACTGGAAAACAAATAACAATGAAAAAGAATCAGATCAATGGTAAATGTACTTTCAACGCTGCTGGGAAACTTAAAAGAAATATTGTTACCAGAAACTTAAGTACTACAAAATCTAAGAAAGGAAATAAGAAGAACAGTTCTGATATAACACAACTAAAGAATACCAAGAAGCAACAGCAAAGTTACATGCTAAATGGTGAAAAGAACGATGAAAACAAAGTGAGCCCTCCCTTCAATCCTATTAAAGAGTGTATGAACATATTTGAGTGGTTGATATGTCCTGTCCAAGTGCAAGACTTTCTCACGTAAGTTGAACATTAAAAATAAATATTTCCACATTTTTTATTCACATTATTTATTCACATAATATTTTCTCCTGTCTCAATCAGGAACAATTTTGAGAAGCGTCCAGTGCATATACAAAGGAACAAACCTTCTTATTACTTAAACCTTGTGTCAACATCTTTATTGGATGAAGTATTGAGGGAAAAGAATGTCTTTTTTACCAAAAATATCGATATCACCTCTTACACCAATGGAGTGAGAGAAACTCACAATCCACCTGGTCGTGCTGTTGCTAATGCTGTTTGGGACTATTACATGAACAAGTGTTCTGTGAGGATGTTGAATCCTCAAACGTTTATACGTGAAATATACATATTGAATGGTAGAAAACATCACTTAATCATGCTTTTTCTATTAAGTAATTCCTATTCGTTATATTGTTGCTTAATTTTACAATGGAGTAATACTTTTTGCAGCTACTCTTCAGGAATACTTTGGCTGCTTCGTCGGTTCCAATTTATACCTCACACCACCTGGTAGTCAAGGTTTTGCGCCCCATTATGACGACATAGAAGCATTCGTATTGCAAGTCGAAGGCAAAAAGAGATGGCGACTGTACAGGCCTCCTAACAATAGCTATTTAGCGAGATATTCCTCTAGGAATTTTAACGAGTCGGAAATCGGAGAGCCTATACTGGATACAATCCTTCAGGCAGGAGATTTGCTATACTTTCCACGAGGGACCATTCACCAGGCTGAAACCGCCGACGATACTCACAGTTTGCACATTACATTGAGTGTATATCAGAAGAACAGTTGGTATGACTTTCTCGAGAAGCTGCTCCCGCTAACCTTGAAGCGGGCAGCCGAAACCAACTACAATTTTCGCACAGGACTGCCTTTCGATTATTTGAGATATATTGGCACCGCGCATACCTCGAACAACGAGAAAGCTAGAAAAAACTTCGAGAAGAAGATGAAGACTTTTCTCAGGTTGTTGGTAAACTATGTCGATATAGACGACGCGGCCGATCTGATGGCAAAAAGTCATATCCACGATTTTCTGCCGCCTGCACTCACTTTGGAGGAGCAAGAATGTTCGGTGGCCCAAGACGGCGATATTATGACTAAAAACGGGGTTGTTAAACATTGCGTACAGATAGAATGCGACACGAGGGTGCGATTGACAAGATCGCACTGTATAAGGTAGTCTATTCAAAAATTATAATACGAAGGACACACACGAGCACAAATTATTCTAGTTGATATACAATTGTTGGTATTGTTATTAGGTTAATAAAAGAAGACGATGGTACATACCGGATATACTATTCCACTGAAAATTCTAAGGAATATCATGAATACGAACTGCAATTCTTAGAAGTCGACGAGAATCTTGTTCCTGCCGTTAGGGAGATAATAAAATGCTATCCAAGTTTTATACGTGTGGGTGATTTGCCGATTGACTACGATGACTATAAGGTAAGAAGCATCGACAACTGGCCGTAGTTATGCAAGAATGATTCAATTACATACGTTAAGATACGTTTTGAATAAAATTTTGTACATATGAGTATGAAAATTTTGTACATGATTGAAAAAGTATAGACAGCACTGATGTTCTCTTCGCAACCGTTTAAGAAGTCAAGCATGGTCAATTTTCTTCACTTTAAAGTAATTATTGACAAGCTTAATTCTATAAAAAATGCATAAAAAAGATGCAATTAATAAAAATTACGCAATTAATAGAAAATAAAAACTTTAAATTAATTTTAAGCATCCATAAAGCTCGGATCTTTTTTATTTTGTGAGAAAAACGTATAGACTACCCATCAGTAATAAAAACTTCAAAATCATCATTTTGTGGATTGGATCATTCTTGTAGAAGTATGGCGAAGTCATATTTAATGTTGCTTGTGTTACACAATGTTGCATGATCGATACAATTGACATTTTATAGATCCAAATAGTGAAAGATCTTTGGGAGAAAGGTCTTCTCATAACGGACATTCCTCGATGCGATATCACGAGAAAAAAAGATAAAAAGAGCTCAAAAACTAAGAAGAAACTGCTGAACCGATAAAAGTAGCACATACAGACCAAAACCCTATTTTTTTAATTCATCTATTGACTAAAATACATCGCGTGTCCGTAGCTTTTTTTGCACGTTCGACAAACAATACATATTTTAGTATACGCTGTAATAAATGTATAAGATAAGATTCGTATAAGATAAAGTATATCTGAATCATTAAGCAAGATCTTTCCGATTTGACATAAGTTTAAAGTTCCTTGTATGTGTGTGTATGTATGCGTATACGTACGTGCGTATATAATGTACATACGTAATGTAAGTTTACTTGTACACCAGCTGAATGATGTACGTGTACGCGTGCACGTACATATGTATATGTATGACGTGAGTTTTATTTGTATTCCAGCTGAATAGAAATTTTTACGTTCCGATTCTGAGCTTGCTGCGTTTCTCCTGCGCGATATGATCTCTTTGCCTGCCCATTACATACTCGACGTACTCCAAATACCCATCATTATTCACGTCATCTTCTTCCAATACTCTGTCTATCAGCTCTGAAACAATTAAAAATAATATTCTTATTGCATTTATAGCAAAATAGATCGGCAATATATATGTATATATCTTTTCTTCAATCAATATGATTATTGTGATCATTGATTTCGTTTCGATCGTACCTACGATCCAAGGCAAGTCCTGCATGTCTTCCTTATAATTGTCATCCTCGGCGAGTCTATTTTCATGGAAAGTATGTTGTATAGCGTGAAGAATCTCTAAGCCGTCTAATTTTGTATTATTGTCAACATCGTGAACTCTGTAAATTGCGAAATGTATTACAAACCAATCTGATATAATTTGCTGAAAAGGAGAAGGCGACTTTGATTTTCTCGACATACTTAAAGTAGTGAAACTCTATCTCTTGCTCGGTCATCTTTGAAAAGTCGAGTTGATCGCCTAAAGGACCCATGTCTTCCTTTAAGTGTCTAAAAAGTTTGTACACATTATTTATATATTATTAATACTTATATTTTTATAAATTTACTTATTGTCAATCCATTAATTGCTACTCAATCACTTACGTGGTATCGTGAAGGAGCTCAGAGTCTTGCGTTAATTTCACATCATTTTGCGGTGTATAATGATGATGGGACACAGTGCTTTTAGGATGATGCGGCCCACGAATACCATTTGCGTATACCACCAACAGGCTAATCCATAAACCAATTAAGGATATTTCCCCCATTATTATCTGAAAAGAATTTTAATAGTATCCTGAAGTCCAAAGTATTATGTATTCGTTATATCTTATGTTAGATAAATATATAAATTAAAATGTATTATAAAATATTTTATATATAAACTGTGTTAGATAAAATTATATTGCAAGATAGTAGTAATAAATCAAACAACCAAATTATATATACAACACGATATGAAATTTCAAGCAATTTCGTCCGAAAAAGAGAAAAGGAACAGAATCTTGTTGCTTTATAAAAGTAACAAGACAATTGGATTATATAGTCTGTATAGAAACTATAGCTAACAAAAACACAGATTAAATCCTCTAATATCATAGGGACGAATTACTCGGTCAAATGCGGCGTTTATCTTATTTACAATTAATTATTACAGAATTTTCAACGTCTAGTAATTGTACGGCATCTCATCGGTTTCAAGACGTAAGAGAATGACCGGCTTAATTAGCCAGTTAGCGATTGAAGTGCGATATCACAGTTGACGAATTGCATTTATTTCGTGATGCTCTCCGTGATCAAATGCAGTCCGGAAAGAGTGGTGACTATTTGGGGGACTCCACGACATTCCGAGCGATGCCCATCGACAATGGGACCTGCTGGGACACGCTCATCGGGTGTATCGCCGTGGTGGTGGTGCCTTCCGAGGGTTGAACACTCCGCCGGTCGCGACAGATGGGCGGTAGAGGGGGTCCTACGTAATTATTATGCGATTACCCACAAGCCCATTGATTTAGATTGGACCCCAGGGGGCGTGCTGCGCGCGATCGTGGGCCCGCTCCGATTTGTTACAAGACCTACGGTCGAAAATTCGCAAGTGCTCGGTGCAGCGGCGCGATTTCAAGGCGTGATATGGCGCGGTAACGGTAGGATTCGGAGAGAAAGCCGTAAGCGATAAGATTGAAGTAATAATAGACGAGTCACAGTCCGGAATCCCGACATCCGATCTTGCGTTCTCGATACGCTCCCGTGTGCGATGGTCTAGGCTGCTGTTAAAGTTTTACCGCCTACGTTTTCTTCATACGCCATCCGTTAAACAGTAGACGAGGTAAGAGTACCAATGCATTAACCAATGATGCTAACAACACTGATACCTAACTCTGGATGTTCTTATCTCTCCTGTATATATTCAAAAAATATGTATGTACATATATTCTATATTGAAAGTTTCGCATTTGAACCATTTAATTATCAAAGCAATAAGAATGTTCAGAGTTAGATACCGGTGTTATTAATGTCCAGGCATTATCTTGGTACTATTATCTTACAAGAGAAGGATCTTTAATCAGGCACATTCACAATAAGTGAAGCGAGTCCGACGACGGTTTGTAATCTTCGCGAAAATTCATCCGTTAGTTGCATCCGCCGTCCCGTTTCTCGGCCTAACGATAATCTCGCACTGTCCTTTTCCCTCGTGAAATCAGACGTCTCGTTTGATAAACATCAGATGTCGCTAATGTGAAGAGATGTTCGTTTGAACTGAATTGAGCAACGGTAGCGCGCGCGATCGCGACGCGATCGCGACGAACATGGCGGTTACGTATCCTGACGTGATCCTGACCGATTATTTGCAAGAATCGCAAAAAGCAAGGATTAACACGTAAGTGTTAAGAGACGAGGCGAGGGCGAGGCGAGACGGGAGGAGGCCGACACGAATGCGGGGTACTTAGGAATCAATTTTATATGGGGCTTATACGGCGGTCGAAGCGCCAATGCATATGCTGAGGGGTGTCCCTGAGGGGTTTCCGATGCGCGCGAGTAGACCCCCCAGGGGGCTCCGCGCACCCCAATTCGTAGCCAGTCTCCCGTCCGGCCTCTGTCTCTCTGGTGTCGAAATCTATAAATAATTTATATCATTTGGTCCATTCACAACGGAGAGAGAGCCCATATGTACCTGCGTCTCGCCTTACAGGGGACCTGCGGGGGCCGCTCCCGACAAGCTCTCCTTCGCAACGCCGAATGGGACCGGCAAGAACCTCTCCTGCCCCCGTCCCGCCGCCCCCGCCTGCACGTCGTGTACACCGGGTGCGCGGATAAGCTTTACGGATTTGACACTAATGGCTTGGCCGGGAGCGACGTGTCGTCGGCGGAGATTGGCCGCGTGCAGGTGCTAACGAGATTTCGCGCGACTACGCGGAACCCTAGAGCCCCTCTCTCTTTTCCTGGTATTTATGTAATTTATTTGTAATTAGCACGAACACGCGCGACGTGTGAACGTCGATTATGAGCCGTTGCGTGAAAATGTGACGATCCACGAGAGCGCGATCGTTTGGATCGATCTCGGCACAGCCCGTTCGTGGAGTTTGGAATTTTTCGGTGATCTCTTCTCCTTCGTACGTGTATTCCGATGCGCTGCCACTCTGTGCAAGTTTCCGCGGAAACTTGAGGCATGAATATAAAGCAACTGCTAATGTCCGCTATGATGACGCGTAAAGCGCGTAAACGCGCATTTACATCATGCACACGCGTGTTTTGTTTAAACGCGGCACGACATGCGCTTATTAGTGCGCAGGCATACTTATTGCAACGCAACACCGTGTAACATATCGACCGCGGTCGCCGCGGTGCATTCGCCTTGTCCGAAGCGTGCATTCGCACGTTACACGACGAGTTATCAGTCGTTGGCAAAATCGCGCCGCGGATGTATTTTCAGGAAATCACGATGCAAAGAATTGCCCACGCACGTTTCCGCGCTTTCGCGAGGCCCGGCGGCGCCTCCACACATCTTCGTGCGTTCTCCTCACTAGAGATTGCGTGCGTGATCGTTCCCCTCACCCACACACCCCGGGAACAGCCTCGGGCTCGCCCTGACTATAATCTCGACTGTGCTATCCGGCATCGCGACAGCGGCTAGAGGGTGGCAGTCAACCCCCGGGCAGAGGGTTCCATCCAGGTTAGGTTGTCATAACCTAGGAAAGAGACCGAGGTTTCCCCGGCGCCCGGCTGTTGTTTCGAAATTTCGCGCGAGGTGGCGAGGTGCGCTTTACCTGCGTTTTGCCTGCTTCCGACGTAGCGGCCGATCAATATGACGTCGCTCGGCGACGGATATCTGCCCTGCGACACCGACTCGATCGATCGATTCGATCCACCCTTCGCGCTCCCTCGATCCCGGCCGACACAGCGCCGTACTCGTCCTGGTCGTTTTCGACTCGTCGTTGTAGTTGTCGTCGTCGTCGTCGTCGTCGTCGTCGTTATCGTCGTCGTCGTCGTCGTCGTCGTCGTCGTTGTCGTCGTTGTC